CCCGCCCCGCCCCAGCTTCCCATCCCAGCTCCCCTCCTCTGGTCCGCCCCTGGCGCCTGGCTGGGCTGGCGACAGTCCCTGGGTTTCACGGGTGAAGAACCACCTGGGACACAGCGCCAGGAAATGAACTGTCCCGGTCGCCTTAGGGGGGCGGGCTGAACCCGATCTCCTGGATGCTGCCCCACCCCGGGGTCCTCCACCCTGGGCTAGACCCCATGGTCTCGGCCTTCCCTTCCCACTGCAGAGCCAGAGAGTGAACCCAGCCCCAGAGGAGTCCTCCCCGGGGCTCCCCCTGGGCCGCTCCCTGAGACTTTGAAATTCACAATTCAAGGCCCTTCCTCTCCTGGGTTATTGGACTTGCAGGTGCTTTGCGGTGCTATTCCTACAAGGTGCCTACTGGGGACGCTTGTTCAAAGTTACCCATGGCGTTCATTCATCAGGTATGTGCTGAGCACTTAACGAGCTCCGCTGGTGCTGTGGGTTAGGAGTTACACTGCTGACTTAAAAGTTAGGGTTCAAACCCACAGGCTGCTCCGAGGGATAGAGATGAGGCTGTCTGCTCCTGAAACGATTCGGTCTCAGAAACCCTGTCTAGGGTTGCACCATGAGTTGAGTTGGAATCCACTTGATGGCAGTGGGGTTTGGGGGGTGGGGGGGCAGGCTGGGCAGATTCTGCTATGTTATCGCCATGAGTGGGGCAGAGGGTTTGCTAAGGTTACTTCCCAGCCAGAGTAGACGCATCTACCCTTCAGGTCCCAGACTGGTGGTGGTGGTGGTGGGGTGCACTTAGCTTCCCAGGGAATGCTTGGGGCTACAGGGCACCAGGGGAGGACCACCTGGTGTCAAAGTCAGGGAGATTGTCATTCTGCCCCTACTTCAGTGAGAAGCAGGAACCAGGGCCAGAGAGACCTGTGTTCCTAGAAGGCTGGCCAGGGTGTGACTGGGCCAGGGAAAGCTTGGGAATGGGAGTGGTAGTCAGGGCAGGCTCAGGCTGGGCCAGGTTCCTGTACCCTAAGCCCCCAGAGGGCCCCTTGGGTAAGTGACTAGGGATGCAGCAGGCACTTGCCCCTGGAGTGTCCTCCGCTTCATGTGTGGTGTGGCGGCAGTGGGAGCCAGCCGGCCAGCACAGCATCGCCGTGAGCACTGCTGCAGACAGGGGACGCTTCTGCGAATGGCACCGAGCTGCGTACCTGCTCATTGTGCTTCAGTGCACAGGAAGAAGAGGGCAGGGGGAGGAGGTGAAGGGTATCAAGAGTGGGGGGTGGGGGGGTTGGAAAATGGGTAGCTGGAAGGACAGACGGGAAAGAGGAAGGAAATACCAAGACAGCCAATGTTCTCTCCGCTGGGCTAACGTTTTCGTTGACTGCTTTAGTCCTTTAAGCAAGCATCCCCTCCCCTGAGCCTGGAAATACCCTGCAACAGCAGTTCTCAACCTGTGGGTCGCAACCCCTGTGGGGGTCGAATGACCTTTTCACAGGGGCCGCCCGATTCATAACAGTCGCAAACTGACAGTGATGAAGTAGCAAGGACAATAATTTTCTGGTTGGCGGGTCACCACCACATGAGAAACTGTATTAAAGGGTCGCGGCATTAGGAAGGTTGAGAACCACTGTCCTAGAAGGTTCTGAGCACTGGGTAGAAGCTTGATCCATGGTCCTCCACCCCACCCCCACCTCAGGGATGCTGGGCAGTGGTGTCCCGGTATGGTCAGCGTTCCAGAGAAGGAAGCCTGGGGTCTGTCAGAAGTTTCCCTCTTCTCCCCTTACCCTAAATTTCTGACCTGCAAGTCATTCAGCAATTCTGGAATAGCGTGCCTCTTTCAGAGGCTGTGCGTGAGCAGGCAGGTTTAATTACCCGGGACCTTCAGCTCCTAGCACAGGGAGCAGCCTACTGGAGACTGAGGCCGCTGTGCTTGGGGTTCTTATGCATCTACTGCCTCCTAGTGGTTATGTTCTGTCACTGCACACGTTTGCAGGCTATATACACCCACTGGGGGTCATGCCCAGGGTTTATTGGGATTGCAAACAGGGCTCAGAAGCAGGGTGGCTAGACTTTGTCGCACGTATGGTGGGCATGCTGTCCAGAGAGACCAGTCCCTGGAAAAGGGCATCATGGAGGGGCAGGGAAAAAGAAGGCCCTGCCTCTACACAGTGGATGCAGCAGTGGGCAGGGGCATGGGGAAGATTGAGGATGGGCAGGACCCTGTGGTGTTTCGTTCGATGGCACCTGACAACAACAATATTCACAATACCTCCCCTTGTAGTCACGCCCAGGTAAACCCACCTGCATGGGAGGGAGGGGGTGTGGCTCCCCTCTGAATTCCTGGCCACCAACTGCTGTGGATTGAACTGTCCCACCCCAGTATGGGCTGGAATCCTAACCCCACTTACAGGTATGAGTGGAGTGACCCTGTTTGGAAATAGTTCTTTGCTGTGTTTGTTGGGCTGGTTGTGTGGAGTGGGCCTAAAGCCTAATCACTTGTGAATTACAAACAGCAGGCCAGTCGCCCAGGCCACCACAAACTGAGACAGGGTCGCCCAGGAACTCCATGGAAGGCCCCTAGTGGGAGCCTCCCCTGCCTGGCTCCACCTGTGGTTGGGTGCCACCTAGCGGCCGCTTTGTTATCATTCCTCAGAGCTGCCACAGAGAGCAACCTGGGCTCACACCTGGCCGCAGGGGCCCGGGGCCAAAGTTCCAGGGGTCTCCCAGGGGTCTCTCAGGGTGCCAGATGGCGCTGAACCTCCCACCTGGGGCTCCAGATGTATTCTGTGTGGTGAAGATGCAGTGTCAGGCCAACAGTGAAAACAAAGAAGCGCCCTTGGGGTTCCCGGGGGCACAAGAGGCACGCGCCCAACTGCTAGTCAAAAGGCTGACTGCTCAGACTCTCCCAGGGGCCCTGCTGGAGAAGGCGAGGCCATCAGCCCACATGAGGATCTCAGTCAAGAAACCCCGTGGGGCCGTCCTACTTGGTCACAAGGGTTGCTGTGAGGGGGGTTGATTCGATGGCACCTCCATCACCAGCGTTGTTACTACACCTAGAAAGGAGTGAGCGTCCCATCTCCAGAGGCATTCAAGCAGACACTAGGCAAGCCCATTTCAGAGCCATTGCGGAGGCCGTGAGGTGAGCATGGATGAGATGCCCGCCAGCATTATCCACATCTGCTATCCTTGAGGTCTGCAAAAGGGGCCCAAGGGGATGGCCTAGGCAGTCCCAGGGGTGGCCTCTGGCCGGAGAGTCCCCCTCACACAGTAGCTCCTGGAGGGTGGGGGGCCCTAGGCATCTGTCCTAGGGCCCTGAGGCCTGGTGGCGAACCCTCAGGCAGAGGAGTGGTTCATGGGGAAAGGCCCAGCCCAGGTCACCACTCCATGATGGGTCATGGGAACGAAGGAGCTGGGACAGAGACCCCCCATGCAGCCACCCCCCCACCCCATGCCGCCGGGTCAACAGCACCCAGGTAGGAATCCTTGCTGCCTGCAGAGAGAGCGACAGCTCCCATGAACCTGCACCAGCCCTGCTCCAACTCCTCCTGCGCACCTCAGGTCTAGCACTGGGAGTTGGGCCTGGCTTGACCCACATGCACTTCAAAAAGCTTGTCTTTACGGGCAGACCCTGGCTTCTAAAGGTAGGGCCTGGGGCACCCCTGACATACCTTTCTGGGGGGCAGCCAGGCGGTGAAGCCAAGGGTCAGGCGCCTCCCCTGCACGTGGCCCTGTGGTCTCGGCCTGGCTGCAGCCACTGCCCCTGCACCGGACGCGGAGGCTGTCCTCCTGTGGAACCCTGAGCTGGTCGCTCTGTCTCAGAGGCTCAGGAAGCCGGGTCCTGGGACCTCTGTGTCTTTGACCTCAGTGGGTGTGGGTGTGGGGGCTCCGTGAGCGACCTGAAGGTCAAGGAGCAGATCTCTGCCAACGTGCACGAGTTTCCCGGGGCAGTGTGCCCCATGGCCAGTGGCTTCATTGTCTCCCAGGTCCAAATTCCGGGTGCCTCAGGGCTGTGCTTTCTCTGCCAGCTCCGGGGACGTCTCTGCCCGGTCTCCTCCGGTTCTGGTAGCCCCAAGTGTTCCAGAGTTTGCAGATGCATCTCCTGGAGACATTTTCCTCGGTCTGTCTGTGACTCCTCTTCTGTAGATCGCCGTTCAGACGCGATTAAGACCCACCCTTTGCTGCCTGCTCCCCTGAAGAGTTACCGTCTGGGAAACGGTCGTGAGTCAGAATCGACTGGCAGCTCTGGGTTTAGTTTGGGCGTCCGTTCTACAGGGTCCCTCCTTGGCACAAGTGACTTGCACTTGACCACTAACTTTAAAGCTTGGAGATCCACACCCACCCAGCTGCACACACACCTGGGCCCTCCCTGAGTGCCCCGGTCATCTCCCGCTCCTTGTCGCTTGGCCCCCACAATGACAACACACGGCTATTGAGCTTCCTGGTAGCCCCGACGCTCTCACGCTCACTCGCTCTCTTGCTCGCTCGCTCTTTTTTCAAAGAAAAGTAAGCTTATTTTTCTACCAACCCCCAGCCCATGTTCTAGCCAATGGAGGAAGGGTAAGTCAAACCCCAAGCAGACTCCTGGCAATTTTTTTTTTTTTAAGTTCCTAGACATCTCAGAGCTGATGATGATTTGTACTGAATGCACTCGGGGGTTCTCCTCTTCCTAAAAATCCCCCCCTCCACATCGCTCTGCGATTTGATAGCCTAGGATCCCAGGGTGATCCCAGTGCCCCCCTACGTGCTGCACACAAGACCAGACACGGGCAGGGACTCTCCAATTCCGAGTAACACGGGTGATGCTGACGCTGAAGAGAGCAAAGCAGCACATATTTTTAAATAGAGCAGCTTTAAGACGGGGCCGAAGGGAGCGCACCTGCCATAATCCACTTTCCCAAGCCGCAGGAGACTGTTTGGGGGGGGGGGGCGACTCCCCAGAGCAGGCAAGGACTGGGCACCCTGGGCACACAGGCTGTGCTGTCCCGGAAGGTGCTGCCAGCTCCGAGTCAAGAGCAGCTGCTACACACTGTGGCATTTGCTCCACAGTCCACACAGTGCCGTGGCTCCACGGAGGGTCGTGCGGCCCATGTGTGAACTCCTCACGGACATTAGCGTGAAGATCACTAACCTGGGTGCCAAGATTTCCCACCACATGCCGAAGCAGCAGGTGCTGGCTCCAGGGCGCAATGAGGGAGACAGCGGCTCCCTGTGTGCCAAGCACCGTGTTCACGCAGGGAGCCTGGCTGGACAGGCTGGTCATGGCCACAGAGTAGACATGGAAGTTCCTGATGTTCAGGGTGGCCATGGCGGCGAGCAGGACAACAGAGTCCTCCTTATTAAACAAGACTCCCTACTCTGTTTTTATTTCCGAGTTTTATTGTTCGAACCCATTTTATTGGCACCCAGTCCACATATCGTACAACTCAATAGTTCAGTCAAGGCAAGAAGAGTTAGTGGTACAGTCAGCACCACATCAATGCCAGAGCGATCCCTCCTCTCTCATGCTCATTGCGATTCCAGCCTCCCCTGCCGGCTCCCAAGGAACCGTGTCTCCCTCTGCAGCTTTCCATCCTGGATCTCGTGCACCAGAAAACATACAGAGGCACAAAACTAAAGGAAAAAAGCTGAAAGCAGTAACAGAATAAAATAGAGAAAAATCTCAATAGAAAAGAAAGCAGAAAATAGCCAAATCTAGAACCACTTTGCAGTGGGTCTGAAGGGTGATCGAATGATAAGGGGTTGCATTTTGACCCAACTCCATCTGCCATGATTCACTTTTTTTTTTTTGGACTCCTGATTTTATTGTTCAATTTCCTTTTTTCTATTTAGAGTAGTCTTTGGTAGCCGGGCAGCCTGGCCTCCCAAGACCAGAGTCCATTGGAGCTGGTTGTTGTTGGAAAGGGATGGGTTGGGGGATGGGGTTGGGGCAGGGAGACCCCGATCTGCTGGTGGTCCTGGATGGAGAAGGCGACCTGCACGTCACAGGGCCTGGGGTGTGGCAGGAAGGATGAGGCAGGAGTGGCAAGCCTGGGGAGATGGGACCCACCTCAATCACAGCTTCATTCTCTTCCAACGTCCCCACTGGTGGTGTTCTCTGCAGTCTTCGAGGCCGCCTTCTTTTATTTTTTTCCTTTTCTTTTTCTGAGGTTTCTGGCTTGCTGAACCCTGGAGGAGGCCTTCCCTCTGTATCCCGGACCTCCATCTCAGACCTGTAGATGTCAGGCTCAAAGGGGCCATGGCTACCCGCATGGGGCCGCTGGGCATGAGCAACACTGTACATTTAAACGGGGCAACAAATTCACCCTCCTCCTCTTAGAGAACATGAAGTGCTCGTAGCAGTTCATGCTTGGCGCACTCTACCACTTCCATCCGGGCCTTCTTCTCATCTTCAAATGCTCTTAGAGTAAATGGCATGGCATCGAAACCTCTCTGCACCTCGCTGGAGAAAGCACGGGACGTTTCCATTTTCAGGCCATCTTGTTTAGAGGGGTCCTGGGTAGATACGGTGGTTCTCTGTCCTGCACTTTGGCCTCTCCCTTTCCCAAACTGACAAGAGCAACCACAGCACATCCCATGGTCCTTCTGCCGCTGGTCTGTGGGATTCTGGACAATGGTTTCCTCTCCATCGATGACATGCTGCTTCAGTCGGTGTGATAGCATACCTTGTATCGGTGTGCAATTAAACGAACGGGCGCCTTTGTCCCAGGCTCCTGTCACCTGGGTGCTCTGGTTTCCAGGTTTGACGAGGTGTAAGGCAGCCTCAGCACAAAGGTGAGCCGCCTTAATGACATCTGCTTCCCGCCCTGTCACTGGGGTCCCCCCAACCACATCAACCACAGAAGTGTGTGCCACGCCGGCGATGAAGCCATCCACGTGGACGTCAAGGTCAATTTTTACCACATTGCCTTCCTTGAGAACATGGTCCTGATTGCTCTTCAGAGGGGAGACATGACCTACCCCGTTAGTGGCTGAAATGCCAGTCGGAAAGGCGATACCTTGTCTCGTGTCCTTTTCCTTCTCCCCGGTCTCCTCCATGATCATGGCGTCACCTTTTTCACACAGGCTCGGCACCGACACACCTGCGCTGGAAGCTTCCACCAAAGACCGAAGGACTCGGTTGGCAATGTGGGCCCCACCCGCCCCCATCTTATACTTGGTCACGACCAGGTCCTCGGCCATAGTTGGCTCCTGCCGCTTGTCCTCGCCGGCATCTTCCCAGCACCACGGCCGCAGCCTCGCTTCCCTCGAGCCTCCGACTCTGCCTCCCGTCCCAGCCGAAGCCTGTGCCCAGAGAGTTGATCCTCGAGGAGGGTGCGAACGAAAGCCCAGGATCCACTTTTCAATACACTCTTGATCTGTCGTCCAAGGGGATTCACCAGAGGCTTAATCCACGTGTGTTTCCCCTTCACTCCACCCCTTTAAAATAGAAACAACTTTTAAATGGTTCAAAGGGGAGATCAAAGAAGATCTTTTAAACTAACTGGATCTACTATAATCGTCTCTACAATGCTCTGTCTGATAACAAGGCTATTTGCTTCCCTGCAAATGGATTTGGGGCTTCCACAGTGGTGTGTCCATAGCCGCCTGCAGACCAGGTGCTCACAGGCTGAGCTCTGCTACCGCTCCCTCCTGCAGATCTGGATCGCATTATTTGCCACCCTTGGATCACACAGGCTGGTGTGCTTCTTTTGAGATTCACCACTTTGTTGCTGTCACTGTCAACAAGCACTGAGTGTGGAAACAGGAAGAAACCACCACCCGGGGGACCAGGAGACAGAGAGGACGGGCAGGGGGACGCCCTCTCTGAGCACAACTGGGGTCACAGCCTCCAACTCAACTCATGTACTCGCTCTTTGGAGGGTAGCCAGGCCTTGGGCACGGGGTAGGGGCTCCCACACGTGGGAACTGAGCGACGATCTGTCTGCTCTCCTTCATCCCACTGCTTGCTGTCAGCACTCTTCCATGCAGGGCAGGGGACAAGCAGGGGCAGCATGCTGGGACCCCCCAGCTGTGAGATGGCATGTACATCATGTCCTCCTCCATCCTCTGAGCTGCTCGCCTGCAGCCCCTCTGGGTCAAGTTTCAGATGGACAGATCCAAGCCAGTCCCGGCGAGGCCAGGCTGGGCCAGCCCCTCGTGGCTGCTTGGACAGACATCGCTGACTCCCTGCACCCGGCTCCAAGGAAGGCTCATGGAGAGGACACTCACTCTGTCACCCCTACCCCCACCCCCAGACAATGGCCTTGCCATCTGTCCCGGCCTCTCTTCCCTGAGGAAGGCACGTGGACGGGTGCTGCGGGCAGTGGCCCCACCGAGGACCGGTGGAAGCGGTGACTCAGGGAACCAGCCCGTGTCCCAAGCCCACACCTCCTGCAGACAGCCTCTGGAGCTCAGGTGAAGCCAGCAGCCCCACGGGCTTCCAGAGCTGCCTGGGCCAGCTCATGTTTGCCCTGAGGCCTGTCCATCTCCCGACTGAGGGTTCCCGAGGGCGGTGTCTGCTGGCCCCTAGAGGTGACGGAGAGGTGGGCAACAAGCAGGGACCCTTCCCCTGAGTCCATACTGCTGCCACAAGTATTTTGAAAGCCATGTTCTGAAGGCCAGCTCCCTCTGCCCCTGGTGTTTTCTGAGAATGCTGGGGCCACGGCGGAAGTGGCACTTTGAGGGGCTGGTACAGGCTCTCCAGGCCCCTTAGCGGGCTGGGCTGGCGGGGTGAGGGGCTGGGTCCCTGGGCAGGAGGAAGCCAAGTCGGTTTAGTGAGTGAGTGACATAGGTGGGAACCAGGAGGGTGGGGGTGGGTGGGGGCAACAGTGGAGAGCAGGCAGCCTCTGCCCTCAGGTG